TATATATATATATATATATATATATATATATAAAAATTAGATCCATTGATTCACCTAGTCCTGTATAATCAGCATCTAGCCACCCAGATGCCCCTGAATTACAATTCCTAGCATTTCTCTTTGTTGGCCATGCTGGCTAGGGTTGCTTGGAATAGTAGCTGAGCTGCTATTTTGAAGGTCCATGCATTGCCGAACCCTGAGCAGATCCATTATGTTGCTTCAACTGTAAATGATCCTGCAAATGTTTCCTGTTCCTGCTACATATGAACCTTGTATCAGATTTGCCTTGTATTGATCCTGGTTCTTATACATTAAAAGTAGGGCCTACCACCTGAATCATAAGGACCTCCATCTGAAATTAATAGAGGCAACTTTATATCTATTAGAAAAATAATATTTGAAATCAATATTATTTACACTGTGACTGATAACAGGAGATTATTTACAATTATAAATTAATCTAACTGGCAACATACTTTGTTTTGTTTTTTTGATGCTGAGAAATCTCACGTTTGGTACCTCTTTTAAAAGACGTGGCTGATGTGCTCAGATGAATCCATGCCTGTTCTATAATTTGCTTGCAAGTTTTATCATTTCTCATTTGCTGATTACAGTTTTGTTTCTTAGCAAAAACAACACTCCCTCTCATTCATGCCATCATTTACAGATGAAAATTCTATGGTTTAGTGGTATTTTTTAAATAGAATAAGTTCTTTGCAAGTACTTTCACATGAAAGTGTTTCTGAGACTAGAATAAAAGACAGATGCTTTGAAATGCATTCAATTAGTCCATTTGAAGTTATGTACTTTGGCTGGAAATACAGTCCTCAGGTGACACCATCTAGCAAGCATGCACTATATGACGTGTCAACTCATTCCAATAAAGTTGGTACAGGAGTTATCATTAATGGTTTCCATTAATGCTTTTATTTAATAAGAAGTTTAATTGGTCAAGGTTTTTGTTTTTGTTTTAATTTTAATTATTCCGGAATTAAAGTAATAGTTTATCAAACTAGATTTTGAAACAGCTGAATTGCATCTTGTTTTGAGGCTCCTTGCACCCAGAGGAGCTCTGATTTAGCTATTTTCACCAATCCCCACAGAAAAACATGGAGAAAACCACTTTAGCTTTTCCACCATTCCCAGAAATGAATGGAAATTCCAAATATACAGGAACTCTACATGCACAAAGCTCTTGATTAGGACAGTTAACTTTTTAATCAATGAATGTTCTTGATGGTCCTGCAAGAAGACTTCTCCACCCTTGTGGGATTGAAGGGGAGATCCATGCTATTACTTGGGCAGTGCAAAAATGTATCTGTAGTGTGGTTGCCAACGGCCACAGGCTTTCTAGTAACTGAAGTGTTGTGGCATGGGTTTGGGCTAAGTTGGTATGAAACTTGGTGCTGGTTCTGCTATATACTGGAAGGAATTTCTTGCTTGCTGCTGGTGTCTGAATGTTTCTTTTGATTTTTTTCTATCTCACTGCTCTTCCTTTGGAGAAGAAGGGGTACACACGGAGGAACTGGACAGTGAACTAGGTAAATCATCCATCTGTCATTTTTTTGCTCCATTGGTTGGACTGCACTATTAACCACTTAACATCTTTTTCTTTGTATCACTTTTTTCTTTTTTAATTTCAAGCAATAACAACATGTAGCTTGGTTTCTGCACTGAACAGCTTTTGCATAGGAATAACATTTTTGAATCAAGAGTTTGGTCCATTATTTTGGGATATCTTCTCCCCCATCCCCTATGGCATTATTGTAACTTTTTCTGCTTTACCTATGTAGCTGTAGGGCATTAAAGGACTATGCTATGGGTTCAGGGATAATTCTAATTATTGGTACTTTCATATTTAGTTTTGACATTAAATTAGGAGGTGAGTTTTGAGTCTAACTTTGTGAAATACTGCAGCATTAAGATTTGTGTTTATAGACATAGACCATGCTATTTTGGTACAAAAAGTTCTTATTTTTTTTCTTGTGGAATATAATTATGCCATATGGCCTAAACAGTACTTAAAGTATAAAATGTATTTGCAAGTACCTAGAATTTGAAACTGAAGTTTGACAGAATCTAAATTACCAACCTGATTCTGTTTTCTGAGTATTTTTAGGCATACTTAGAATAAACATGTAACTGGCATGATGCTACATAACCACGAAATCCTAAAATGATATAACTCAATTATTGAATTTTATTCCTTCTGTGGAATTCAAAAAGCATCAGTTACATTTTGAATGGAAGGTGTAATTTACTTGATGCTAGAGGAGCTGATTAACTATGTGTTTCCAATCCTTGGGGAAAAATAAGGAAAAAGTTTAGCAAATTAGCTGCAAAAGAAAATTATGTTTGCTAGATTGCCTTTCAACGGATAAAAATAGTGACATGCTTGCTAATGTGCCTGTTCCGTTTCCATTCACAGCCCTCTTTTTTTCACACATTGTTGATGGCTTCTTTGCTATATTCCTATGCTCTACATAGTTTTTGTTTAGTTAAAATTTAAATAGATATATATTTTAAAAAGCACATTTTTCTTAAGCATATTATCAATAGCAGCTGCATTGTGCAAAATCACAGAGCGGGCATTGCGTAGTGCCTTTGACCTGCTGTGCATATATTTTCATGGCTGAGCAGCTGTAGAACCTTCAACTCTCATTTATTGAAGTAACTCCTACAGATCCTCTGGAGGACACTGAACCCTGAAGAATAATAAGAACAATACCACAAGCAAAACATTAATCCCTAAAAGCAGAAATAAAAGGAATAAAATAGGAGAGGGGACCTACTTGGCAGAAGTGCTGGAAAACAGAATAAATAAAGGCCTCCAGGAGCATCTGGTCACTAGACTTCAGAATGATCTACTTGATGACTCTTTTAGAGAATTTGGCTGCAGTTCTCATGATTAGTTTTCTTATTCTTAAAGCACTCCACTTTATCAAATAGTTTACTTTTACAAGCGGAATACTGAGAGGCTGGAATTCAGCCAGGATGCATGCTCCCTGCAATAGCCACACGTTTTTGTTTATTTTGATTTCTGCCTTCAGTGTGGAATACAAAAATACACTGCAAGGAATGTAGGATGAAGGGGAAAGGGAAGTTACTTAATGTTGCACTGTATTTTTTCTTTTTTTAAAGAAAAAATGTGCTCCGTCTTTTGTTGTTGCTGAGCCTTCAAGTCTGTCTTGACTCCTAGTGACTGCCTGAACAAGCCCCTGCAGTTTTCTTGACAAGATTTTTGGAAGTGGTTTGCCACTGCCTTCTTCCTGGGACTGAGAGAGAGTGGCTGGCCCAAAATCACCCCACTGGCTTTGCACCTAAGGCAGGATGAGAACTCCCTGTCTCTGACCTTATATTCTGGCACCTTAAACCACTGCACCCAACTGGCTTTTGTGTGTGGTCATAGCAGATGAGAAAATGTCTTCTTCCACCCTCCATCTTCCTGATTAATAAATGGAAGCACAGTCTGTAGGCCCACACAAGATCTTTTTATTCTTTCCAGCCAAGTGGAATATTGGAAATAAATTATGTAAAGGCGTGGGTGGGGTGGGACTCCTGTCAGTTTATCAGTCTGTCAGCACAGTAACTTTCCAAGAAATTGAATAGAAGTGGACCAACGTTTCTTGTGGGAGGAAAAAAATTGGCTTTGAAAATTGGCTGGATCTAACCACCACATCCCTATAAGCAGATGCTTGGAATTTCTTTCTTAAACAAGTAAAAACATCCTAGTGGTAGGTGTTTTTGGCTGGAGAATGGCCAAGTGTATCATAGAACTTTTATCCCAAGTGAGTAAGGGGTTATTTCATTATCTCATATAAGACTCTTATTCTCAGAGACTCCCCATTTGTGTACGACTTTAAAAAAGGCCATTTTTTAATTTTATTTTTTGCCAATTATTTTCTCATCACCCCTGTCCCCAATTACCATGGCATTTCCTTTCTTCATATCTCAGGAAATCCAAAGACTCTTCAGATGAATACCATGAAAAATATGTGGGTGGGAGAAGTTGGAGGAAACCTGTTTTTTATTTGCAAACAAGGAACATGTGGAGCAAAACTTGTTAAATATTTTTTCTTGATTTTTAGCCAGTTCTGGATTTGCAATATAAACTTTGAGTAATTAGCGCATGTGTGTTTATAAGGGATTAATTCTTTCTCAGTCTGGAACTGTTTGTGTCCGTATGGTACACTAGTTGGAGCCTGCAGTTAGCACACTGAAGAACACACTAATTTATGTGCAAGCGTTTGATGATATAAACTGCAAGGTTTAGGGTTCTTCTATACCAGGATTCCTCAACCTTGGCAACTTTAAGATGGGTGGATGATGCTACATAACCAC